AAATGGAACACTAGTCACTTTAATAATGCCACTTTAATAATGTTTACATTTCTTGCATTATCCATCTCATATGTATATACTGTATTCTATACTATCTTAATAATGTTTGCATATCTTGCATTACCCATCTCAAATGTATATACTGTATTCTATGCTATCTATTGCATGTTAGCCTATGCCACTCTGATAATGACATTGCTCATCCATATATTTATTTATATATTCTTATTCCATTCCTTTACTTAGATTTGTGTGTATTAGGTTTTTGTTGTGGAACTGTTAGATATTACTTGCTAGATATTGCTGCACTGTCGGAACTAGAAGCACAAGAATTTCGCTACACTCACAATAACATCTGCTAACCATGTGTATGTGACCAATACATTTTTTATTTTTTTATTTTTTTATTGAAGCATCCGCTTGGCATATTTGGTAGTGAGAGGAAGCTCAGTGGCTGGCAGTGGAGAAGATGGAACGAGATGGATTCTGGCCGACATTCTGCTAATTTTCTCATTGATGAAACATTTGATCTCAATTACATTTTCTGTTCCCAAAACTAGAATATGTTACAAACATAGTGGACTACGTTTTGTAGACTTTACCCTTTGCCAAAGTCTTTAAAAATTGCGTTGTTTAGAAGGAGTGCAAAGGCGAATTGAGTTATTGCACACGAGCACTTTCAGAGTAGGCGTTACCTAACGGAAAGTGCTTAGCTCTGCCCACCTCCTTGCTTGTTTTGCCCACTATGACTCTTTGTTCCCGTTTGAAACGACGGTCAGTGGTCTATCTTGGTCTAGTTATTGAAATCTTTGTTTAGGCTAGCGAGCAAGCATTTCAGCCAGGTAGCCTAGGACAACAAAAAATAAAAGCGTATGTAACCTGTTCTGTACTACACCGCTGTAGCTCTGCGATGTGTGTGATTGATTGGGACTATAGACGTGGACTTCGGAGATCAGGCTGTTTGAATTAATCAGAATTCTCTCTCTCATAGTGCATAAAAATTAGGGCAAAACGTAAGTACACACTCCACATCATATTTAGCTTACTTGACTGGACTAAATTGTTTTTGGTATCTTTTAATTGTCACTGTATTAGACTAAGCAGAGGTGATTTGATTATGTTTAAATGTTAAAGTTGAAATGGTGTTGGAATAGTGGAGGCAGCTCCTGTTTTCTTTGCAACTTGCGGTAACACTCTGTGGTTCTAAATCAATAGTTGTTTAGTGGTCCGAAAATGTCGGAAACATTAACTTGCTTGACAATGCTGTAGGTCATGTCTGTTACTGTACATGCAATATGCTTTGTGGACTTCACTGGACAGAGGTTGCTATCTGGTTTTGGCAACAATGTCATGAATTGAAAATATATCATTATGTTGTTTGGTGATTGAATAAATGTTTGGATCAATGGTTGTGTAGTGATAGACGTCTCCATACAAAATAAATGCACAATAAAATGTTTAAAATGTAAGACTTTCTGCATTACAGTTGTTAGCAGTTTGGAGTTTTGTACTAAGAGTTTTGAAATTTAACAACATGCTTATGAAAATGGCACCAAAGCGATATTTTTTGTTGTTGTTGGCAAATACAGTACAGTGCTATGAAAAAGTATTTGCCCCCTTTCTAATTTTCTCTACTTTTGCATATTTGTGATACTGAATGTTATCAGATCTTCAACCAAAACCTAATATTAGATAAAGGGAACATAAGTGAACAAATAACACAACAATTACATATTTATTTCATAAACAAAGTTATGCAACACTGTGGCGGCAGGTAGTGTTAGAAATTGCGTAATTCAAATCTGGTATTGGAATAAGAATCAAGATATCTTCAATCCAAGCTTAATTTATTATATGCAAAATGTATGTATGATAAGTATGAAGGTTCGTATACGGGCTCACTGAAAAACCACGCAGGGCAGACAGAGAACTAAAACATTGTTTACAGGTTCTTTCTCAAATACTCTGACAGAGAGTTCCCACCTCTTCTGTTGGCCAATCAGAGTAAAGGACTGAGTGTGGTTTAGACTTTACTCAGCCAATCCGTTGGCGCACGGGTTAGTCCCACCCCTTGGCGCTCCACCCCTTGGCGCTCCACCGTTCCCAGGCATAAGTTTCTATCATAATAACCTGCGGAGTCAGCACCCAAAAGACACCCCTCCAATCTGTACTCCATGTACCCACGTTCAAGGACGGTTTCACAGACAACAAAGAGAGAGTGTTCGTATCTGTAAGAAATACAAGTCTTATCTGTCCTACCCCTAACGTTCCTTACATGAATCACAGCCTGTTATGTGAAACAATTTATATCAGTATAGTACAAACCTATGTTCCTCATTAATGCATTCCTTCTAAGTTATTCATCACATACAGATCCAATTATGAGAAAAATAGAACCCAACAGTAGCTTAGTGGTTAAGAGCGTTGTGCCAGTAAACGAAAGGTAGCTGGTTCTAATCCCCGAGCCAACTAGGTGAAAAATCTGTGGATGTGCCCTTGAGCAAGGCACTTAACCCTAATTGCTCCTGTAAGTCGCTCTGGATAAGAGCGTCTGCTAAATGACCAAAAAATTAAAACACCCAATTCCCCTGTGTGAAAAAGTAATTGCCCCCTTACACTCAATAACTGGTTGTGCCACCTTTAGCTGCAATGACTCCAACTAAATGCTTCCTGTAGTTGTTGATCAGTCTCTCACGTCGCTGTGGATGAATTTTGGCCCACTCGTCCATGCAGAACTGCTTTAACTCAGTGACATGTGGGTTTTCAAGCATGAACTGTTCGTTTCAAGTCCTGCCACAACATCTGAATTGGGATTAGGTCTGGACTAGGCCATTCTAAAACTTCAAATTTGTTGCTTTTTAGCTATTTTCATGTAGACTTGATTGTGTGTTTTGGATCATTGTCTTGCTGCATGACCAGCTGCGCTTCAGCTTCAGCTCACAGACGGATGGTCTGACATTCTCCTGTAGAATTCTCTGATACAGAGCAGAATTCATGGTTCCTTCTATTAAGGCAAGTCGTCCAGGTCCTGAGGCAGCAAAGCATCCCCAAACCATCACACCACCACCACCATGCTTGACCTTTGGTGTTCTTACTGTGGAATGCAGTGTTTGGTTTTCGCCAGGCATTACTGGAACCATGTCGTCCAAAAAGTTATACTTTTGAATCATCTGTCCATAGAACGTTCTTCCAAGAGTCTTGATGATCATCCAGGTGCTTTTTGGCAAACTTGAGTCAACTTATTGGACGAGATGGGTCCCATTATGCCTGGCGAAAACCAAACACTGCATTCCACAGTAAGAACATCATACCAAAGGTCAAGCGTGGTGGTGGTGGTGTGATGGTTAATACAGTGAGGGAAAAAAGTATTTGATCCCCTGCTGATTTTGTACGTTTGCCCACTGACAAAGACATGATCAGTCTATAATTGTAATGGTAGGTTTATTTGAACAGTGAGAGACAGAATAACAACAAAAAAATCCAGAAAAACGCATGTCAGAAATGTTATGAATTGATTTGCATTTTAATGAGGGAAATAAGTATTTGACCCCTCTGCAAAACATGACTTTGTACTTGGTGGCAAAACCCTTGTTGGCAATCACAGAGGACAGACGTTTCTTGTAGTTGGCCACCAGGTTTGCACACATCTCAGGAGGGATTTTGTTCCACTCCTCTTTGCAGATCTTCTCCAAGTCATTAAGGTTTCGAGGCTGGCTTTTGGCAACTCGAACCTTCAGCTCCCTCCACAGATTTTCTATGGGATTAAGGTCTGGAGACTGGCTAGGCCACTCCAGGACCTTAATGTGCTTCTTCTTGAGCCACTCCTTTGTTGCCTTGGCCGTGTGTTTTGGGTCATTGTCATGCTGCAATACCCATCCACAACCCATTTTCAATGCCCTGGCTGAGGGAAGGAGGTTCTCACCCAAGATTTGACGGTACATGGCCCCGTCCATTGTCCCTTTGATGCGGTGAAGTTATCCTGTCCCCTTAGCAGAAAAACACCCCCAAGCATAATGTTTCCACCTCCATGTTTGACGGTGGGGATGGTGTTCTTGGGGTCATAGGCAGCATTCCTCCTCCTCCAAACACGGCGAGTTGAGTTGATACCAAAGAGCTCGATTTTGGTCTCATCTGACCACAACACCTTCACCCAGTTCTCCTCTGAATCATTCAGATGTTCATACGGCCCTGTATATGTGCTTTCTTGAGCAGGGGGACCTTGCGGGCGCTACAGGATTTCAGTCCTTCACGGCGTAGTGGGTTACCAATTTTTTTTCTTGGTAACTATGGTCCCAGCTGCCTTGAGATCATTGACAAGATCCTCCCGTGTAGTTCTAGGCTGATTCCTCACCGTTCTCATGATCATTGCAACTCCACGAGGTGAGATCTTGCATGGAGCCCCAGGCCGAGGTTGACAGTTCTTTTGTGTTTTTTTTCCATTCGCGAATAATCGCAAACTGTTGTCACCTTCTCACCAAGCTGCTTGGCGATGGTCTTGTAGCCCATTCCAGCCTTGTGTAGGTCTACAATCTTGTCCCTGACATCCTTGGAGAGCTCTTTGGTCTTGGCCATGGTGGAGAGTTTGGAATCTGATTGATTGATTGCGTCTGTGGACAGGTGTCTTTTATACAGGTAACAAGCTGAGATTAGGAGCACTCCCTTTAAGAGTGTGCTCCTAATCTCAGCTCATTACCTGTATAAAATATACCTGGGAGCCAGAAATCTTTCTGATTGAGAGGGGGTCAAATACTTATTTCCCTCATTAAAATGCAAATACATTTTAACATTTTTGACATGCGTTTTTCTGGATTTTGTTGTTGTTATTCTGTCTCTCACTGTTTAAATAAACCTACCATTAAAATAATAGACTGATCATTTCATTGTCAGTGGGCAAACATACAAAATCAGCAGGCGATCAAATACTTTTTCCCTCACTGTATGTTGCATTGCCATTTCAGTAATCCACATTTGGTCAACATTTCAGATTTAATTCTTTCTGCAGTATCTAACACAGGATATCCTAGCAAGATCTTTCAAGAGAAATGTGACTCATGGTCTTTCGTATCAGTGGATGCAAGTTCCTGTTTTGCAGAAAATGTGCTCCTACACTTTCAGGGTATGCTCTTTCAGTTATTCTTCACTCCGAACCTAAAAATATTTTCTGCTTATGTATTTTATTCCCTTTTGAAAATAAGTATGTAATTTATTGTAAAAACATGTAAAGCATGGTCCTGATGTTTTATTATAGGGTCTTGTTTGGAACGATAGTTCCTGACCAACTTTACAATAAGGTAACATAACTTTTTTTGTTCCTCTTGTCTTGTAGTTGTTGGATGGTGGTCTCATGTTTCTGCTCCTTAGTTTGACTAGGATTTCTGCACAGAGAGAAATGTCCTTAAACCCCACTACAATAGGTCATTACACAGGTATAGCATCTTCTTCACATTTCACACATTTTATGTCCTATTATTACAAAGCAGAGTGAATATATTGAACCTAGAACAATAGACCTCTTTTAGTCTGGTAATGTATGTTAATATTTTAGCAGAGTCCCCATGTAAACTATTTGAGGAGGATGAAACTACTGTGACAGAGGGGGAGGCCCTTAGTTTGCCAGCCTACCATAACCTGAGTGAGTTGGATTGGGCCAACGTGACTGAGTTTACCTGGTACAGAAACAGAACCCAGGAGCTCCCGTCCTCTGAGGAAGGGCGTGTGCATCATCATGGGCCGGTGCTCTTCTTCCTCCCCCTTTTAATCAACGACTCTGATCAGTACTACACCTACTGGTAATACAACAACAGTGTGTTGATGTGTGTGTGTTTAGGGGTTAAATTGGTAATTCGGAGGTGGGGGAGCCCTATTTGGGGGGCTTAGGGTTAGGTTGAGGGTTGAGTCTAGGGTTAGTGTTGAACCTGGATGTGTACATGAAGCTAGGGCTAGGGTAGGCATGCACATTTACAAAGAAAAAACCCTAAATGTCCCTTGTCTTGCACGAACGTTGAATAATATTATACAGTGCATTCGGAAAGTATTCAGACCCCTTGACTTTTTCCACATTTTGATATGTTACAGCCTTATTCTAAAATTGATTAAATAAAATACAAATCCTCATCAATCTGCACACAATACCCCATAATGACAAAGCGGAAACAAATTCTTGCAAATGTAAAAATAAAAATGGATACCTTATTTACATAAGTATTCAGACCCTTTGCTATGAGACTCGGAATTGAGCTCAGGTGCATCCTGTTTCCATTTGATCATACTTGATGTTTCTACAACTGGATTGGAGTCCACCTGTGGTAAATTAAATTGATTGGACATGATTTGGAAAGGCACACATCTGTCTATATAAGGTCCCACAGTTGACAGTGCATGTCAGAGCAAAATCCAAGCCATGAGGTTGAAGGAATTGTCCGTAGAGCTCCGAGACAGGATTGTGTCGAGGCACAGGTCTGGGGAAGGGTACCAAAACATTTGTGCAGCATTGAAGGTCCCCAAGAACACAGTGGCCTCCATCATTCTTAAATGGAAGAAGTTTGGAACCACCAAGACTCTTCCTAGAGCTGGCTGCCCGGCCAAACTGAGCAATCAGGGGAGAAGGGCCTTGGTCAGGGAGGTGACCAAGAACCTGATGGTGTCTCTGAATGAGCTCCAAAGTTCCTCTGTGGAGATGGGAGAACCTTCCAGAAGGACAACCATCTCTGCAGCACTCTACCAATCAGGCCTTTATGGTAGAGTGGACATACGGAAGCCACTCGTCAGTAAAAGGCACATGACAGCCCGCTTGGAGTTTGCCAAAAGGCACCTAAAGGACTCAGACCATGAGAAACAAGATTCTCTGGTCTGATGAAACCAAGATTGAACTCTTTGGCCTGAATGCCAAGCGTCACGTCTGGAGGAAACCTGGCACCATCTCTACGGTGAAGTGTGGTGGAGGCAGCATCATGCAATGGGGATGTTTTTCAGCGGCAGGGACTTGGAGACTAGTCAGGATAGAAGGAAAGATGAATGGAGCAAAGTACAGAGAGATCCTTGATGAAAACCTGCTCCAGAGCGCTCAGGACCTCAGACTGGGGCGAAGGTTCACTTTCCAACACGACAAAGACCCTAAGCACACAGCCAAGATAATGCAGAAGTGGCTTCGGGACAAGTCTCTGAATGTCCTTGAGTGGCCCAGCTAGAGCCCGGACTTGAACCCGATCGAACATCTCTGGAGAGACCTGAAAATAGCTGTGCATCGACGCTCTCCATCCAACCTGACAGAGCTTGAGAGGATCTGCTGAGAAGAATGGGAGAAACTCCCCAAATACAGGTGTGCCAAGCTTGTAGCGTCATACCCAAGTAGACTCGAGGCTGTAATCGCTGCCAAAGGTGCTTCAACAAAGTACTGAGTAAAGGGTCTGAATACTTAAGTAAATGTAATATTTCTGTTTTTTATTTTTTATTCATTTGCTAACATTTCAAAAAACCTGTCATTATGGGGTATTGTGTGTAGACTGATGAGGAAAAACAACAATTTAATCCATTTTAGAATAAGGCTGTAACGTAACAAAATGCGGAAAAAGGGAAGGGGTCTGAATACTTTCCGAATGCACTGTATTTGAACTTACTCTGCCGATTGAAATTTGAGACAAAATATCCACAAAAAACTTTTATAACCGACTTCAAAACGCGGGACTCGTGTGTGGCAATAAAGATGTGTTTGCTCCTGACCTAAGGCCAAGCACAAGATGGAAGGACATGCACGCCGATATATGCATACTGACCAAAATATTGCAGGTGTTTACATGGTTTTGAGCATGTGCCAGATGATAGAAATATCAACGGCAGTACCGGCACTCTAAAAAGTCAGGTAAATAATACTTTCCTGTGGATATTCTGTCTCAAAATTCGACCCACTGAAGGACCAACTACACAGACAACTGGTATGGTAAAATGTAATACAAATGTATTAAACATTCTGGCTTGTAAGGAAACTTTCTACGTTTTTACACTGCTTAGTTTCAGGCTATATAGACTCTTTGAAAAAACATTTGTTATCTATAGCCTAAAAGCGTTATTCGGCTGGCCCCCAGTTAGAACCCTGTTGGTTCCAGGTAGAACCGTTTTGGATAACTGGTACTCTGTATATATTCATATGTTCCAGGAGAAAGGCAGCAGACACCTGCCTCATATTTGTGACAGAGGTGATTGTGGTCAAAGCCCAACCATTCGATCACTCAGTCCTGTTCAGTGATATCTCAGAGTCAGCAGACAACATCGCTATCCCATGTCCTGACCCCGTGGAACAACTGTGCCAGGATGGAAAAGAAAACTTAGCCTGGTATAAGGTACTGAACATGACCAGAATGCTAACACAAACCTCAATCCTGCAAAACTATTTACCATTGGTTCTCAACTCCTGTCCTAAAGCTCATAAGTGTTGCACTGGTTTTGTTCTAGCCCAGCACTAACACCCAACTCATCATCAAGCTCTTGATTAGTGGAATCAGGTGTCTTACTGCTAGTTCAGCAAAAAAGTTTGTCAAATTGTTTGTCTTTCATTTCAGAATTTCAATCTCATTCCAAATGAGTCTGAGAGTAATCTGTGGGTGTATGGCGCCTCAAAAGCAGACGAGGGCATCTATACGTGTGTGTGCACGTGGGATCACAACGGGAGGGTTCTCAACACTTCTGCATCCAGGAGACTAAAGATCCAAGGTAACTAGGTCGTGGCTTGATGACAGCATTGTCAATCCACTCATTATTTTATTTATTTGATTTTAGCTTTACTGAAACCTCATCCAAGATGGCAGCAGGGTCAGCATACATAGAAACTCTAGGCTACATTACAGTAGGTTATTAGGCTACACAAACAATCAGGATCAAAAGCAACATCAAAAGCAACCCTCATATCACGTGTGGTCTTTGAGGCAGCAACAATCATGAAAAACATCAATGACTACATTTTGAATGTATCCAAAAGTATCTTTCTGACTAAACTGTGTGTTTGTCTCCTTCAGCTCCCTCTGCCTCGCATCCTCCTCAGATCAACCTGCCTAGAGACGGAAGCACAGAGACCACTGACCTGTGTAGGGATCACACCTGGCTCAAATACTTTCAAATACTTGTGTTGTGCTTGATTTGGTTTGCCCGGTATATCTCTCTGTCTTCATTGTATCTCTTGTTCTTCATAGACACCACTAAGAAGTTGAGGTGTGAAGCATTTTGTGGGCAGAACATTAAAGACAACTGTCATGTGTGGTGGGAGATGAACGGAGTGAAAGTGGGTTCGCAGCAGCAAGGCTACTCAGTGAACTCCACCAGGTAGGTACACACATGCACGCACGCACGCACACACATGGATGCACGCATACACACAAGCATACACACACTTGTTTTTGAGAACATGGTAACAGAATTTACACAGACCCCAGATTCACCATTGAGAATTCACTGTGTGAATATTTTGTGTGTATGTGTTACTGTAGCGAGGTGGAGGTATCTTCAATGCGGAGTATCTTCACGGCTATCCTGACCATAGACACAGTGACTATCAAGGACCTCCAGTCAGAGTTCAAGTGTGTTGCCATGAACGACCAGAAATGGATTCATGCAGTGGTGACTCTCAAACCAAGATGTTAGTGCACACACACTTACACAAACATCACTCAGACACACATCCACATGTCACACAAACAAAATCACACATATACACTCTGTAACTTTCTTGGTGTTGTGTCCTCCATGTCTTCCCCCAACAGCGTTTATATTTATGGGTCTATGTGTGGCATTGCTGCTCTTCTTCATGCTAGCTGCTGTAGCCGTCAAAGTGTTTGACATCGATCTGGCTCTCCTCTTCCGTGGAGTTTTCAAATGCTATGATCGATCTGAGGGTAAGAACATCTAGCCATAGACTAAAGTTTACTGATGCTATTTCACTAAGATATTTCATTGTACAGAAATGCTTATTCAGCCTACATTATCTGTATAGTATTGGGTACCATATAAACATATTACTACATTTAGTTTTTAGTCACCACACAGGAGCACTCTAACCTTGTACTGTACAGTAAATGTCTCAATCGGCCCACTGATTGTGCAGTGCAGTTGTTTGCAGTAGGCCTTTCGCAACAGGTCCCGCCTTGGGTCAATCCCACTACTAGTGTAGAAGTAATGGGCCATTTTATACTAAAATAACTCAATTTCAGTTCAAATGGAATTCAATCAAATCTCTCAAATCTACTCCTTTCATGCTGAGGTTTGACAGAAACCTCCTCTTTGTCTGTGTTTTCAGATGGGAAGGTCTATGATGCTTACATTGTCTACCAAATGGATGGCATAGACAAAGACATGGAGGAGAAAGTGTTTCACTTCGTGAGCAGCGTTCTGCCGACTGTCCTGGAGCAGAAGTGTGGCTTTAGACTCTTCATCCACGGCAGAGACGACCTACCTGGAGAAGGTTGGTTCTTTCAGACTGTGTCCTGCCCTCTAAGAAGCAAATGTAACAGTAATAAACAGTACCAAAGTCGAAAGTTAACTTCTCCTGCTCCTCTCTGTTCTGTTGTCCCCAGACCGCATGGAGTTGGTGGAGGCCTGCATGCGGCTGAGCAGGAGGCTGATTGTCATCCTGACCCCCAGCTCAAGGTCAGGCTCAGGAGGTCAAGGGTCATGGGGCCAGTGGGGCTACTCGTCATCGTTGACCTCAGCGGAGGACTATGACTGTCAGGTGGGGCTCCACCAGGCTCTGGTCCACAGTGAGATGAGCGTCATACTCATCCAGCTGGGAGACATGGGTGAGGGGGGCTACACACACCTGCCCCCCGGCCTGCAGCACCTGGTCCGCAAGAGTGCCCCCTTAATGTGGCAGGAGGGAAAGCGTGGGTCGACGCTGCCCAACTCAAGCTTCTGGAAGAGGGTGCGTTACATGATGCCTTGGCCGCGCCACTCGACTAGTTTTGACAACCGGTTAATATGACTCTTCTATGTGAACGATCAGAAGGTCTGAGGACTTGAAGTGCAGTTGGAGGTCTGGGATTCTGTTATAGAAGAGAACACCCCAGGTTGTCTCTGAAAATCCTTATTCCAGTCATAGAAATAGAATGAATGATTCCAGTGCTGTGCAGAGATATACACAGGTTAGCTGAGAACGTCACAAAAACGATGTGTACGCTTCAATGTGGCAGAAGGCCGTGTGTTGTTTTGATTCTGGATGGCTAGCAACAATGAAAAGAAACTGCCATGTGGGGAATCGTAAATGACTAATTTCAGCAAGTGTTATCTTGTTCTTTATTTTTCTTTTTTCTTTCTTTTTTCTTTTTTCTTTTTTTCTTTTTTTGGGGGGGGAATGGATCAGCTTAATATTGCAGATAGATTGTATCTTCTATCAATGTAATTGTCTGCATCACTTCCAATCCCCCATGTTTTTTATATTTTTTATTTTTTTATATATATATATACTCCCCTTTATTACTTTTCAACCCCACCATCCTTTCCCTACTTGGAGTAAATTAGTGAACAACAATGCCCAGGCCTCTACTTCCGGTCTATACTTACTAGGGGTGTAACGATCCATCTACTACATCGATGTATCGATTTATATTCCTATGATCCAACTACATCGATCTGTGCTCGGCGAGTTGGCCTTTTGGACAACATATATCAATCTAACATTGTTTTAAAATGTAATAAATCGATTGTATCGATACTAGGAAATAACCCATTGGATTTAAGCACGTCAGACTTTATATGGATGTTTTTTCTTAGCACTTTTAATGATAAAGGCTTTAAACATTACTCGATTCAGTCTGCCTATCCGTGACGTCATCGCCCCGCGCCAGCAGCAGCGCAAAGGCGCAAAGACAACAAAACATAGCATGGCGGACGACAGAGGAGAAGCCGACGAGCGAGAAATTATCAAGCCACCATTGCGGTCCTTACAAGAAACAGGAATCTAGGAAACTTCACCTGCACTGTCCAGTATCCAGGTATTTATTTCAGTCACACTGGTTGAATTTTTGGCTAAAAGGTTACTGAATCGATTTCAAGTCACTGAATCGTTTCGGATCGTATCGTTCTAAATGAACCAATATCGTCCTTGAATCGTATCGACAACCACGAATCGTGATACAAATCGAATCGTTGTTAAAACGAATCGTTACACCCCTAATACTTACTATCTACACCTTATGGACAGAGTTAATTTTACAATAATTCTATTATATATATATATATATTTTTTTTACAATTTTTATTGCTCCTGAACTTCTTCTACTCTCAACCTCTCCGATCATTTTCATGATGTCCATCCGGTTTGCTTCTATATGCCATATCTTTCTAACTGTGCTCTTTCCCAAAAGCTCCCAACATACAACCTATATACTTATTATGGACACAGTATGCTTACATTATTAGCTATCTTTGTTATTATTTGTTGTTATTTGTTATTAGTCCCATCCTTCAACTCTATTCAATACCTCCCATCTATCTCTTAACACCATCCATATAGGATTTCTATTTGCCATATATATTTCAACCGTACTGTGATGTTTTACAAAAGTTCTGAACCTTTCTATTCTCATTGCTTCTACAGATTGTGAATTAAAAATAAACATTTTTGCTAAAAGTATTATTATATTATTGATTGATTGACTATGACTTTTCAGATCACCCAGTAATGCTATCTGCAAGGTTAGTTCCAGGTAAATATTGCAATCCTTTAGCCATTCCTGGACCTGTGTCCAAAAACAAGCTACAAATGGACAGAACCAAAAAAAATGATCTCTGGTCCTCTGTAGCTCAGCTGGTAGAGCACGGCGCTTGTAACGCCAAGGTAGTGGGTTCGATCCCCGGGACCACCCATACACAAAAAAATGTATGCACGCATGACTGTAAGTCGCTTTGGATAAAAGCGTCTGCTAAATGGCATATTATTATATTATTATCTAATGATTCTGTCTCTTCACAGCAAAATCTGCAGAGCTGGGAAGATTGTATCCCCCATATAAATAACATTCTATTGGTAGCAAGAATTTTATATAATAATTTAAATTGAAAGATTCTAATTTTTGAATCCGGTGTCGTTTTGCGTGTCAGTTCATAAACACTATGCCATGGGATCGGTACGTCAAAGATCTCTTCCCAACTATTTTGCAATCTATATGGGACGGCTGTCAATCCTTTGGTCCTTAAGTGAAACTGATATACTTTTTTATTTATCACAGTTTTCCTTAACCAATTATGTTCTTTAATGCAAGGCCGACAGACAAGTTCCTTACTTTCTCCCCCTTCCACTTTCCTCTTCCACTTTTGCGGTAAGGCAGCAATTATTTGGTTGTAATTTTGGGTAGAGCAGACATTTCCATATGTTTTTGTCAGCTGCATGTGCGACATAACTCCACCAGTCCTACCGATGATATCATTAAGAAGATTATACCTTTTTTAAACATTCTGTCAAAAAATCTAGGTTTTTTGTCAATTAGTATATTTGAATTTAACCACAATATTTGTTGCCTTATTGTCACGGATTCTGCCGAGGCTGCTTCCCCTCCTGGTACGAGCAGGCGTCGGCGGTCACCGTCCCCGGAGTACTAACTGCCACCGATCTATGTTTCTGTGTGTGATTGCTTTTGTCTGTCTGTCACACCTGTGTCCAATTGTGTATTGATCACCTGTCCTATAAGTTCTGTCCTTTTGCTTAGTAGGATTGTGTGTTGTTGTTCGCCTGTCGTTGTGCTGCGTGTTTTGCTTCTTGTTTGTTATTTTAGTGTTTTACGCATGCTGCGTGAATGCTCGCCTCTTATTGTTGAGGTTGTTTGTTTACCGCTTCCTTTTGGATATTTTGAGTAAACTCTGTTGGACTGAGCCTCGGTGTCCTGCGCCTGACTTTCACTACACATACACCTCACCTCGTGACAGAACAACACACCATCTCCATGGAGTCAGCAGGAACAGCGGCGATACCCGATTCCCTGGAAGACCGGTTTAATTACCAGGACGCCATGATCCGGCAACTCGGGGTCGCCATGGACGAGGTGTCCAACAGACTGCGCCGGTTGATGAATCGGGAGGTGCCCACGCCTTCTCACACCGTCCCAGCACCAACGGCCAGTCCTCCTCTCTCAGCACCGGAACCCAGTGGTATTCGGCTCTCGCTCCCGGGGGCATATGACGGTTCTGCAGCCGGGTGTCAGGGATTTCTGCTACAGGTGGAACTGTACCTGGCCACTGTACACCCGGCGCCCTCGGGATACGAGAGCGTCTCCGCCCTCATCTCCTGTCTATCCGGCAAGGCGTTGGAATGGGCCAACGCCGAATGGAGGGGAATAGACGCCGCAACCATCACCTACGCGGAGTTCTCCCGCCGCTTCAGGACTGTCTTTGATCATCCACCGGAGGGTAAAGCGGCGGGAGAGCGTCTGTTCCACCTCCGACAGGAGAAGAGGAGCGCCCAGGAGTTCGCACTGGAGTTCCGGACACTAGCAGCGGATTCGGGGTGGAATGAGAGGGCCCTCAGCGACCACTACAGGTGTAGCCTACGAGAGGACGTTCGTCGTGAGCTGCCTGCAGGGACACCAACTTGTCATTTGACCAGTTGGTGGACATTTCCATCCGTCTAGACACCCTGCTGGCCACCCGCGGACGTCCCGAGTGGGGGTCGTCCATTTCGCCCTCCAGCACCTCCGAGCCTATTCCTATGGAGATCGGGGGTGCTGGCGCTAGAGAGAGGAGGAGAGGGAACCCGAGGGGAGCCATCCCCTGCACCACCTGCGGTCGTGGAGGGCACACCGCGGCCAGGTGCTGGGGAGGGTCTCTTGGGAGAGGTGACAGCAGGCCGCGCACTGGGGAGTCATTTCAGGTGAGCAGGCGCCCCACTTACCCAGAGCTTTCTGTTGGTCACATGAATATTCCTGTGAGATTTCCACAGGTGGCACCTCATTCCCAGCATAAGGCGCTAGTAGATTCAGGCGCAGCTGGGAACTTTATTGATCGGGCATTTTGTGGTAGGTTAGGGATTCCCCTTCGGCCGGTAGAACCTCCGTTTCCTGTCCACACCTTAGACAGCCGGCCGTTGGGGTCGGGTCTGATCAGGGAGGTCACAGCACCACTGACGATGACAACGCAGGGGGGTCACGAGGAGATCATTCAGTTTTATCTGATTGACTCTCCTGCGTATCCCGTGGTGTTGGGACTTCCCTGGTTAAGCACCCATGATCCTACCATAGCGTGGCAACAGAGGGCTCTTATGGAGTGGTCTGCCCAGTGTGTAGGGAGATGTCTAGGTGTTTCCTTAGGGGCGACCTCGGTAGAGAGTCCGAACCAAGTGCCCGCACTGCGCATTCCCCCTGAGTATGAGGATTTAGCACTTGCGTTTAGTAAATCGAGGGCAGCGCGGCTACCTCCTCATAGACAGGGGGACTGTGCGATAGATCTCCAAACAGGAGCGGCTCTGCCACGGAGTCATGTGTATCCCCTGTCCCAAGAGGAGACAGCGGCTATGGAGACGTACATAGCCGAGTCCTTGGCACAGGGATACATACGGCCTTCTACTTCCCCGGTCTCCTCGAGTTTCTTCTTTGTGAAGAAGAAGGATGGGGGATTGCGTCCGTGTATTGACTACCGTAGTCTCAATCAGATTACAGTTAAATACAGCTACCCACTTCCACTGATTGCGACGATGACGGAGTCATTACGCGGCGCGCGCTTCTTCACAAAGTTAGATCTCAGGAGCGCGTATAATCTGGTGCGCATTAGGGAGGGGGATGAATGGAAGACAGCATTTAGCACAACCTCGGGTCATTACGAGTATCTCGTCATGCCATACGGGTTAATGAATGCTCCTTCAGTCTTCCAATCCTTTGTTGACGAGATTTTCCGGGACATGCATAGGCAGGGTGTAGTAGTTTACATCGACGACATCCTAGTGTACTCTGCTACACGAGCCGAGCATGTAGCCCAGGTGCGCCAAGTGTTGAGAAGACTGTTGGAGCATGACTTGTATGTCAAGGCAGAGAAATGCCTGTTCTTCCAGGAGTCCGTCTCCTTTTTGGGTTATCGGTTGTCCGCGTCTGGTGTGGAGATAGAGGTAGACCGGGTATCGGCCGTGCGTAATTGGCAAACTCCAACTACTGTAAAAGAGGTGCAGCGGTTCTTGGGGTTTGCTAATTACTACCGGAGGTTTATTCGGGGTTTTGGACAGGTTGCAGCTCCCATTACATCTCTACTAAAGGGGGGTCCGGTTCGTTTGCAGTGGTC